GGCCATTTTGAAACCACCGATCAGCTGGCCGAAAATGGGCGATGATTGCTTCCCCGCGATCATCGCAAAGTGAATTTCCCCCCTAGGGAACATCGCTAAGCGATCGCTTTTGCGATCGCTTAAACCCTGTTGCTAAGCAATTTCTTCGCTATGCGGAGTAATCGCTAAGCGAGGCACCACTGTATTTAATTTAGCGAGTCAAATACCTTCAATGAATACATTTTTGCCTTTATTCTCACAGATGTGGTTTATCAAATTCTTCCCTCCCCCCCTTTCCATGCACATTGGTTTAGGCATCTAACTCTGGAGCCAGAGGTTCGGAGTTCACTTCCCTTTGAGCTCTGCAGTTCTAAGATTCTATTACCTCAGTACCTATTTCCCTGACCATCTCTGCTTCCTATCCTATTTTCAGAAATTCCTGATGATTCTCTACCCGTAATAGCATTTTATAAATTCTATGTCCCATCCCTTTCATGGACCTGTCCTTTCTCTTCGCCCTCTGAATAATAATCTCTGCAGACTTTGTCAGTTCCCGGCATCTACCACTAATTTCTCTTTACCAGTTCTCGAGTCTAATAATCTAGCTGCATTCTTCCGCTTTTACACTTTCTTTCCAAGACTGTCCTTCTTCCCCTTGTTATTCAGTTTTGCTTTAAAAATCCTTTAATTCAATTATTTGTTTCCTCTTTGATTAACTTTGAGAAATTCCTTTCTAATTTTCTGGAAACAATAATTGGGGAGAGTTTGAGAAGGAAAAAAAGTTAATATACTTTGAATTTGATATACTTACTTGGGTGTGGAAATGATCCTCCCTTCATGACTCCTCCCTCCAAAAGGTCCCTCTCTGTAGAGCCCTTCCAACCTCAAATCCAAAGGAACATCCTCCGATCTGGCATCATCCTCTCCCTAGTTCTCTTCCCTCGCCTTTTTGGCTGTCTTTTCTTCCTCATCTGTGACTCAGGCGGAGAGGGAATACATGCTGGCTACAGAGACTGGCGAAACGGTAGGAAGAACAAACTTCAGAACACGGCCAAAGAACCCAAAAAAACCACAACGACCACTAAAGAAAAATACTTGACTCCTTTTTGTACTGGAGTCAAGAACCTTGCAGCATTTGAAAATGCCTTGTCAACATTTCTGGTCATGTTGAGACAGCCTAAATCCATTAGAATGAAGGAAGAATTTAGTGGGCACACTTCACATCTCTGTTTTCTTGAATTGGCAAAGGGTTGAACTAGATGGTCTTTGGTGTTCCTTGCATGTCCTAATCTACCAGATGATGAACAGGAGAAGGAGAATAGCCTAGCAACATCTGGGGCAACCTGGAGAGGAACTTGCAATCAAGCAAGAAAAGAGAGAACAGAAAATAGGAATGGCCATGCATGGCCTTCACATGAAAGGACCGACGCAGGGGAGAAACCACGTAAATGCATTTCACCTCAATAGACATCAAAGAACACATGCAGGGGAGAAAATGTATCCATGTATGGAATGTGGAAAGAGCTTTAGTCAGAGTAGTGACCTTAGGAAACATGAAAGAACTCACACTGGGGAGAAACCATACAAATGCATGGAATGTGGAAAGAGTTTTAGTCAGAGTGGGGTCCTAAAGTTACATCAAAGAATTCACACTGGAGAGAAACCACATAAATGCACGGAATGTGGAAAGAGCTTTAGTCAGAGTGCTGTCCTTAGGACACATGAAAGGACTCACACTGGGGAGAAACCACATAAATGCATGGAATGTGGAAAGAGCTTTAGTCAGAGTGGTGACCTTAGGAAACATGAAAGGACTCACACTGGGGAGAAACCACATAAATGCTTAGAATGTGGAAAGAGCTTTAGTCACAGTGATGCCCTTAGGTTACATCAAAGGACTCACACTGGGGAGAAACCACATAAATGCATGGAATGTGGAAAGAGCTTTAGTAAGAGCTCCTGATAATTAAACAAGGCATAAGAAGCTCATTCAGCTTTGTGCTGGTTTCCTGTGCAAAGATTAAGCAATCAAAAGCTAACTCAATTCAAAATACAGAGAAAAAGAGATAAAATGGAGTGAATTTTGAAGTGACACTTGTGATGTGTTTTACTTCTATCGTTAATTAACAGAGATATACCACAAAATAGACGTGAAACTTTTTGCTGAAAACATGAGAAGCATATATTGTACAATGGAAGCTTTTACAAAATTAGTGTAAAAAGAGAAAAAGATTTATGTTCTAAGGCTAACTGATGAAAGAAAGGCAAGTAGTGAAGAGAGAGAACCTGTCTTTTGTTTTATAAATATTTATCCTTCTAAATAATAATAGTAACTGAATTTTAAAGAGGGTGCCAATGAATTCTTATTACAGTGGACCCTTGACTTACGGAAGGAATCCGTATTGGAACAGTGGCCGCAGGTCAAAAAGTCAGTAGGTTGAGGGTCCATTTCCTGTAAGAATGTATTAAAAACCACCAAAGAAAAAAAATCCCTGGCTTTGAAAGCTGCACCCTCTGCCTTCTGTCCCCGGTGTCATCTGCCTCCTTTCTTCACAGCGATAGGAGGCAGAGGGCACTGGGGACAGGAGAGAAGAGGGCAGTGGGTGCAGCTTTGGAAGCCTGGCAAGCCGAAAGCCGGCAGCAGGCGCAGAGGTCGGGGTGCAGAGCAGCTGTGAATTTCCTGCCCTTTCCCCCTGCCTTTTGTAGGTCAAAGCTCTGGCCACAAGTCGAACCCAAATTTTGTGGCCGCAGCTTTTTGTACCTTGAAATTTTCATAAGTAGGGACCTTTGTAAGTCAAGGATCCACTGTACTTAATTTTCATTAACATAAATATATATAGTATATGTGCTATATTTAGAGTACAGTGGTGCACCGCATAGCGACGATAATCCGTGCAAAAATCACTGCAAAGCAATTTTGTCGCTATGCGGTTTTAAAAAGCCCATAGGAATGCATTGAAACCCCTTCAGTGCGTTCCTATGGGCTTAAAACTCACCTTTAAGCGAGTAGACATGGTCTAGAGGGGCGGGGTAAAAATCCAATAAATAAATAAATAAATCTCTCTTCTTAGTGTTGTAGGGAAGCTGCTTGCCCGTGTTGTGCTGAAGAGGCTCCAGGTGCTTGCAGACAGTGGATTTATTTATTTATTAACATTTTGATGTAGTGAATGCCCAGTTAGGTTTAGCTGAGAGAAGGTAGAATCCTATCAATGCTTGGGCTTTAATTCAAATCATGAGGAAGAGCATGGAGTAATAACCTGATTCATGAGGGTCTCCTCCATGTAGGAATGCTATGGACACATGTCACGTGCTCAGGGTCAGAGGCATCAAGAATTCTCAAGAATCTATATGGAGCCAGGTTTCTGACAAACGCCATAGGTTATGTGAAAAGAAAGACTAGATACTGTAAAAAGGAACAACAGTCATACTAGCTACGTAATGTAAATGAACAGATAGGTGTCAGTTCTCTTGTAACTGAACTGGAACTGTTAGAGTTAAAAAATTGAATTTTGGGGGTGCAGAGGTATTGCGCTTAAAATTAAACATTATTTTCAAAAGATGCTTTGTACAGTTGAAAACTTGCTCTGTGAATATAGCTTATATTACAAAACCGAAACAACTTTTTGTTTTGGTACAAAAAGTTAACAAGGCAGTCGTAGCTCATTCAATTGTGTGTCAGTTTTTGCAGTGAAAAAGGCAAACAGTGGAATGCTTATATTATGTGAAAGATACAACAACAAAATAGAAATGCATTTGAAACTGCTGCATGAGTTGTTTCACTTATAAAATTAATTAAGAAAGGTATCACAAAATAGATGTGGAAACCTGTGTTAAACAAAGGAGAATAACAGTGTATTGTAAGGTTTTTTAAAATAGTGTAAAAGGAGAAAAATATAAAAGTGATTTTATAAAAATATAAAAGTGACTTTAAACAGTTTTTTTATAGAACAAGGAAGTAGAGACAGAGAATGAGTGTTCCTAATGCACTGTATTGTCATTAACCCATGTTATTCTAACAAGGGAAGAGGGATTTTACTCTGGCCAAGGCTTGAACGGGCCAAGAACTGGACTTCACTCTATCTGGAATGAGCAGATCTTCAACAACTGAGCCTCTCATTGGTTAAGGGAGCTAGGCTATGACAAAGGTGGTTTTGATTTCTGATGTGGCATTTGGCAATAAATTGTGAGCTCTCACACACTGATATATAAAGGAGGAACTTTCTATTTGAACATAGTGGAAAAGACAAGCTTAGTCTCACGGACAGTTTGAGAGCGCCGGGAGATAACCCATGGATATAACATAGCTATTTATTCCAACTGACTAAAGGCTTGGTGAGAAATTCTATTTCTCTGTGTTAACATCATACTTGGAGCTAAATAATACTTTGTTTTGTATTTTCTTATTATAAGAACTCTAATGTTCTTTAATGTGTTTTCAAGTTATGTGTTGGCATTATATTCCTTTTTATCTTTAAATGAAATATAGAGATGTATTCTCTGTCTTTGTAGGCGATGAGCTGTGTTTAAATGTTTTTGTATTTTTGATTTAAACATGACTAATGTTCTTGTCTGGTCTTTGCACAGCTATAAATTTACAACTAAGATGTATTTTCTGACAAGTATTTGTTCCAAGCTCAAGTTCAGTTTTTATGGATTTCAAAATATTTTAAGGCTAGTTTTTGCATAACTGCATGACTTTTGGATTTAAGCATACGTGCCGACAGTTTCCCTCACAACTATAAGACTCTTTGATACTTCTTGAATATGTTTTTAAGTATGGAACTTAGAAAGGATGCAAATAAATAGAACCTGTACAGAATTAACAGATTTTGGAATTGCTTGGAATATTTGCAACAGTTAAAACACTTGAAATGAGATGCCCAAATAAGTTATGAAAAGCTTGTTACTGATGGTCTGCTTTCATTCTAGGATTAACCCTTTCATGCAAAGCTCAAATGGTGGTGGTGATCAGGATGGTGATCATAGCAGTCCTGAATTCCAAGTGAAGCATGTTCTAATGAATCCACTGACTCTATTTCTGTTATCACAAATATCTTAGGGATTAATAAGAGGAGAAAAGAGCTGTAATTCAACCACACCCTTATTTTAGGTAAATGTACAGGTTCCCTTTGACTTTTAGTCCAGTTGTGCCTGACTCTAGGGGGCGGTGCTCATCCCCATTTCCAAGCCATAGAGTCAGCGTTTGTCCGAAGACAGTTTCCGTGGTCACGTGGCCAGCGCGACTAGACATGGAATGCTGTTACCTTCCCACCGTGGTGGCACCTATTTATCGTCTCGCATTTACATGCTTTCGAATGGCTAGGTTGGCAGGAGCTGGGACAAGTAACAGGCGCTCACTCCGTCACATGGATTCAATCTTATGACTGCAGGTCTTCTGACCTTACAGCACAGAGGCCTTTGCAGTTTAACCCGCAGCACCACCACGCACCTCTTATTTTAAGTGCATGTAATTAGACAACAAAACCCATTCCGCTTCGGAAATCCTGTCCATCTGACAATCACAATCCTGCACAGCAAAGCATGGTCTTCTGGTTGGCACACCATTGTGGGATCAGGACCCAGTTCAATGTGTGAAATCATAGGTTTTACTGGTATATAGATTAGGGGCCCTAGTGAAAGATGTAACAATTCAAAAAGAGAAGAAAACAAAAAAATTAAAATACAGTGCAAATATATCGTCTTGGCATGTAAATTCTGCATGAATGTCAGATGAAAGGTGAGTTCTTGAATATCCTCAGAAATATGTAATTGTTGCCTAGCTAGATATTTAAACAGGATGGCAGTGACATCTCTGCTTCCCCGCTCTGTATAGATTGTCATTTTCATTAAATTGCAAAAAATTTGTTTCAGAGAATTATTAAAAATTATGATTTATTTATTTATTTATTTTATTAAATTTATACCCCGCCCCTCTAGACCATGTCTACTTGGGGTGGCTTACAACATAAAATAGGACAATATAAAATATAAATAATCATAAAATACAATTAATATATTAATACAATTGAATTAAAAGTTAGCAAAATGGAATAAGAAAAGAGAAAGAAGAAAATAAAAGACTTAGCTGACTGGAGGGAAGGCCTGCTTAAATAGCCAAATTTTTAACTGTTTTTTAAAAACACCCAGCGAGGGTGCCAGCCGAATTTCTGCTGGAAGGGCATTCCACAGCCGAGGGGCCACCGCCGAGAAGG